CAACTTCTCTTACTCAACCTCTTGATGCTGGTATAATAAGATCATTCAAGGCCAAATATATGTGTCTTTTTGTGAATAAATTGTTAAAAAATGATGATGATCATGTAAGTCAATCTGTTAAAAAAATTAAGATTTTAAAAGCCTTGAATTGGATCGATAGTGCTTGAAATTCAGTCACAAAAGAGACAATAGTCAATTGTTGGACCCATTTTGGATACTCAAATAACGAAGTGCCTTATTATTCCGATCTCATTGAGAATCTCAAAGAACTTTCCTTTAAAAATTCAACTAAATTTGTCGAACCAGACGTTTTGTTAGACCAAATTACTTTCAGTAACACAAATTATTTTGATTAAATTTAATGTTACTTGCTTAATAAATAGCACTTGCTGTGTAAATAAGCTATTTCAAGTTTCTGACAATTACTGGTAACTTACTGTAGCTTTTTGCTAAAATAAAAATTCTACTCTTCTAACAATATCTTGCCCAATTTAGTTTGATTTGTTTGGTGCTATTTTTCGGTGTTTTTTGACAAAAATGGAAGTTAATTCGTACAATAGTTTTAAAGAGAAAAAATATGTATTTTGATGAATCTGCCAGGATAATCAGACCAAATCTTTGCCAAGACAAAGGTAAGTTTATATTGACTGTTAAAGCTTGATATTAACATGCTTTATCCTTCAGAGGTCTTCTTTGTTGGTAAGCTCGAAAATTCTCCCTACTATGTTCTTGACAGTCACCAGAATTTGCAAAAATTATGTCATGATCGTGCTGATTTAAGCGTAAACTCTTCAGTAATCGAGGATGAATTTTGGCAAAAAAGGCAAAGATAGAGCTCTTATTCTTTGGTAGCGTAATCAACTGCTTAGCTCATGCTGAGGCTGATTCCATCAGCAGTTTCATTGTCAGGAATTCAGACGCTTACCTTACTGAATGATGATATGAATGTTAACAAGAAAACATAGACAAAACACAAGAAAATACAAACAAAACAGCCAGCAGTCGAAACTTCCATCGCCTTTTAAACAGTTATGAAATCAGATTTTTAGATAAAACTCATTTTTTTCTGGTGTAACTACGATGATCGTAATAGTGAAAGAGCTGAAAATTATTATTCGATGATGAAATTTTCGCTGATCATCATGTATCGTTCACTTTTTTCAACTGCTTAACAATACTCTTAATTTTGGCCATTGGCCTACAAACTTTGAGCCTAAATATTTCGATAGTTATAGCACTTCCGGCTTACATTCTTTGACCAATCAAAAGATTTTATTTTGAGCAATAACATAATTGCATTGAATGCATACAAAAATCTGAGGTTATTCATTTAATAATGATTTCTCTATTGCAAACTGTCAGTAGGTACAATTTTGTCTATTGGGACTCGTCAAATCCAAATAGAACCAAATAGAAATCAAAACAAACTGACCATGCTGGAAAGATCATGGTGTGAAGTCTAAACAGACGAGAGAATCGGGCCTTGTTTCTATTCTGAGAATATCACAGTGAACTCTTATCGAAAGATGCCTCGAGACCTTTGTCTTTCCGAAGCTCGCAGAGGCGAGAGAAGATTGGCAGACATACTTCATCAGAGCTCCTCCTCACTGGTCAACTCAGGTCAGGAACCTCTTAGATGAGACATTCTTTGAGTGGATCGGAATGATAAGACCTTGGTATTGGCCTCCAAGATCTCCTGAACTGACTGTCGGTGACTTTTACCTCTGGGGGTGACTGAAAGACAAAGTTTTCGTTCGAAATCCTCGAGCCGTAGATGACCTCAAAGATTTCATCTACGAAGAGTTCCACGAGATTGACCAGGAAGAGATAAGAAAGGATTGTGCTTCAGTTGCTGTTAGGTGTGTGGGCATAGGAAAGCATCTGAAGAAGCACAAGGATTACGCTTAAATTGGCCTGTTCCCGGTAGGCATTGCAACGGGGTCGATCTATTTGAGCAAAAAACATGTCAGCAACTTAAGTATTGAGCAAAGAGCATGAAAGCTGAATTCATAAGGGCAAAATGAAATAAACTGATTAATAAGGTTAATATTCAGGGGTTTTAAAATGAGCTTGATTTGGCATAAACTTCTTATGAATAATCGACTTGATTTAAGTCAAATTTTCACCATTTTCCACACATTGACATATTGTCATCGAAGTCCGTCATTTCATTCTGTCAGCTGAATCTTCATTTTTTGACCTTCTCACCATGGAATACAAATTTATCAAATCTTCTAGAGGTGCTAAATTACTAGTTTTTCATAATTATGTTTACCGAAAAAGAAATCGTTATGGTAATTCAACCTATTGGACTTGCATTGTGAATGGATGCAAAGGAAAAGTTACGATGGAAGATGATTTAATAGTGAATCAAATCGATCATTGCCATGAACCTGATCTTGATGCTATCATTTCTCGGGAACAAAAAAATTATGTCAAAGAATTAGCTGGTGGCGACAATTATCCTAAATTGAAACGAACTTATAATGAAGCCAACCACCTGACTCTTCAATCTTCATGTTTTGAAACTGAACAAGTTGCATCATCGCTCAGAACTTTCAGCAGTATCAAGAATACAATTTCTAGAGCTCGATCTGCTCGTTACCCTGCCTTGCCGATATTTCGTTCCATGCTGGAAATTTCTGATTCACTTTCGTGTAATTCTAGTGGTGAAAAGTTTTTCAGATTCAATGGTGGAAATGATGATAAAATTCTTGTCTTCGCTACAGACAACTTTTTAAAATTACTTGCTCAATCGGATCATGTATATTGTGATGGAACATTCAAAAGTGTGCCTAAAATTTTCCATTCTCTCTATTCTTTACATGTTATCAAAAACTCAATAATGATTCCGATAGTTTAGGCTTTGATACAATGATATCAACTCAAGTTTACATGAGATTACTTCGAATAGTGCAGGATCTTTGTTCAGAAATAGGATTGATATGGAATCCAAGTAAATTTACAACTGATTTTGAACTAGCTGCAATGAAAGCTATCAAAACAATTTTCCTAATTGTGAGCTAAAAATTTGTCTTTTTCATTTGTGTCAAAGTTTATGGAGAAATGTTGTTAAACATAACTTAGCTGAAAGAAAGTGATACAAATTCAGTTCTAGTGACTGTAAAACGTATTTCAGCTTTACCTTTTTTAAAGCTAACAGATCTCGAGTCATGTATGAATCGAATAAGAATTGAAGCTCCTCAAGATCAAGATATGATAGAATTTATTAATTATTTCGAATCAACTTATTTTTGTTATGACTCAAGATTTCCCCCTGAAACATGGAACCATTACAATGATCATGATCCTCGAACCAACAATCATGTTGAGGGTTGGCACTTTGCTCTCAATCGTTCAGTAGGACGTTATCATGCCAATATTTGGTTTTATATTGAATTGAGCAACAAAAACAATTATGAGGTTTCACTTTTGATGTCTTCTTTTGGTGCAATTGATAATAAGAAAAAGTGTAAATACGTTAAACTAGATGAAAGATTAAAAATTTGACCTTCTCTTATATTATATAATATGACCAATGACATTAGTGCCTTTGACTTTCTCGATAAAGTTCGATATCTTACTCATGTAAGCGCTTGATTTTTGCCTTTTGACATTTTCATTCAATCAAATAAACTAATTTTTGAAATACGGCCTCTATCGATTATTAAATTAATATTTTTGCTTTTTTGAAATTGGCTCAATGGGCTTTTGCTCAATGCTTATTTGCTTGTATGTTTTTTGCTCAAATAGACCCAGACCATTGCAACTGTCCAAAGTTCAATCAAAATTGTAACCCCGCAAAACGGTCCATTTTCACAAAAATCAAACAATAGTAGTAATCAAACTATAGAAAAATGGCCAGTTTTGCGGGGTTATAGATCAAAATGAATCACCTCATTAAAATCAAAATTGAATTTTACATCTAAAAAATCTATTCAGAAAGAGTTTTCACCTTTGGTTATTCATTCGTATTTTGCAATTCGTTCCCATGCATCTCTTAGGTTATTGCATGATATATCGAAAACGAAAAAAGATTTTAAAAACGGGCTAAAAGTTTACATCATATATTTTTATTTCAAGAAAATACCTTTCTAGGCAGTTTTGGCCTTCCTCCTTTTCTTAAGAAAAGGAACATAGGAACGTGATTTGAGCATAGGGAATTCCTCATTTAATTTTATATCCTCCTCATAGAAATCTCGACCAAGAAAAGGGAACATTAACAAAAAATATTTTTTCCTATTAATACTTTTATTGTATACCAATCAATATCACGATCGATAACAAGTTGATTAAATTTTCACTTTTAATTTAATTACTATAATAATGAGATATTTTCTGTTGAAGGGAGAGCTAAAATAGGATAAAATGTCTATAGAGGTAGATCAGAGATTCTATCATTATTGCTAGTGATTTAAAATTTATTGATTGGAAAAGATGTAAGTGAAATATTGCCATTTTGCTTGCCACTGATTTCCATCTATCCTTCACTTTTTGATTGCAACCTTTTCAGCATTTCAAAGAATTTCTCAGTTTAAACTCGGGACAGGTAAATTTCAATTTCAACACTAAAGTTTCCCAATGTTGGAATAATGCTTTCTTTTTCAGTGCAAAATATAGTCAATATTAAAAAGCCAATTCAACCGTCGAGTATTTTGTCTCAATCCATTTTGCGAAAAAGTAAATCAGCGCGTATTGTTCATTTAGCAGTCTCACTCGGCTTTGTGCTGAGATCTTTCACTGTTTATTATGATTTGACGAGTGAAGATGGCATTAGCAAAGCTTCGAGCAACAATATTAGCAAATATTATGCTATCTGGTTGCTCATTTATTCATTTGTTTTTCCTTGCTCTTTGATTGCATTGATATTCAATTCCACTCATTACTTCGAATTCTTAAACATTTGGAAAAACATTGTCAAACGCAATGAAAACGTTATTAATGCGTACATAACTACGAAGAGAAAATTTAGCTACAGAATTATATTGCTGGCGTTCATTTACGAGACAGCATTGAATTTTATCCAGCTCATTCAACTTGTAGACTTATTAACTCGAAATAACTTTTCGCTGTACTTTCAAGTTATACGGATTGGGAGTCAGGTTTTAGTGTTGATATCGATTGCATTTGGATGGTCACTCTTCATGTATTTCATTCTTGAAACTTGTATTTACATGCATTCAGCGTTTGTGCTTATTGATTATCATCTCGACAACAATAAACTCAATCAACTGGATTCAAATGATATTGAACAGATTATATTAGCTCGTAACACTTATTCTGAATCCATCAAGCTCATTAGTTGCGCTGATAATTTACTCTCTTTTTTGATTACTGGATTCTACATATTTTTTGTTGGCTATTGTTTTGCCATTATTGGACAATTTTCAATGTCTGATGGCACATTCATAGATGTCTTAACTGTCATCTTCAGACTGTTCGGTGAAACCATTTATATTGGCTCGATGACACATTACCTTGTAAACATTAATAAGCTTTCTGATAAAATATTTGAAAAGGTTTATTCTCTGACTTTGAACAGGTCAAGAACAGTTGAATATAATGATGAGGTAAATAGTTTTCTTATAGTTGATCAAACTTACGCTTTGAGTCAATTTTCACCCTGAATTCAATGTTAATAATTATTCATTTTTTATCATTTTATTCACAGATCAATCTGTTTCTGCTTCGAGTTGGTCGAAATGATGTTGGATTCAGATTTGCCAATCTGTTCGTTATGACACCTGCTTTCGTCTCTTCTTTGGCCACTATTTCATTGACTTTGGTTTTAACTCTTCCGAGTTTATTGCACTAGAACTATGAAATTCTTTTAATCGTTAGTAAGAACTGTGACTCGAAATGCTTGTGAGAATGCAAAAGGGAAGATCATTTATGACAATATAATTATTTTTCTGATAAAATACTTTGAGAGTACACATGTATAATAATGGGTCGCTCTAGTACAATTCAAGTTTTCGCATCACAATTTTGCATAAAAATTCTTCGATCCCTTTCTTTCTTTTTTTCATTTTACTGTACATAATGACAAACACAGTATACATATGAAATTGTGCAATTTTGAACAAATCACGGCCGATTCATGATAATCTTTAAAAATTTCAGTTTGAACTAGCATGTAAATAATTTCAATTCGACAAAAACTTAGTCTTAAATCAACTATCAAATTATTTAAGTCAGAACTAACTGACTTCAGTCACTTTGTACCAATCTAGATTTAAAGCACTTGAAGTAAAGGGCATAGTTCACTAATTGATTTTACGATAACTGTCATTCATTCTTTCATGTATTGATTATAAAGGTTATGAAGTCCATTGAATATTCATGTTGACACATGAATGACACATGTTCATGGCGTTAGACAATAAACTGGAAATTAATTGCAAACTACTTATGTTTACAGTACAAAGACTTGAGTTGATTAATTGAAATTGTCTGATATTGCTTAATTTCATTTCTTAAAAACCTAATTGTTGTTGATAACATCTTGAAAAATTTAATTGTTTATCCAAATGACTTCATTCAAAAAATTTCATTTTAAGCTTATTATTTACATGCACATAATCATTAAGATGAGTCTTTAATTATTATATATCTGTAAGTATTATGTGTCTAAACTAGCATTGCAAATTTGAAAATTTTTATTATTTCCTGATGAGCAACTGCAAATGATGCTATTCGTAGTTAAACGAAAATTAATCAATTAATTTAGCTAATTCCATTGACTTAAATGGAAATCATCCTGTTAATAATTATGATCCATGGAACTGTCTGAATAGAAAAACAAAGAATTTTAATTTTAAATAAACAAAGGTGAGGAACTGTTTACAAGTTGCTGAGTCCAATAAGTAATTGAATGGTGATGCCCTTAAACAGTTGAATTTAATTTTGTGTTTCTGTATTTCAATTTCAATTTACATTTGTTGTGTTAAAGTTTATTAAAGTTTATTTCATTCAGTTGCCTCACTCTTATCTTGCTATTTGTATCATGTCTATCTGCCATCTTATAACAATCCTGTCCCTTGCTCTACTGATACAAACTTCACATCCATTCAAACCACCGAAACACAATATAATTTCATACTACAAGACTGTGAATAATGTTTTCTTGACTAATCCTGAAAATCATACAACAGGTTATGGTATTTATGTGGCTGGGGAAACAGCAACTGTTGATATATCAAGTGATGTGGCTAGTGTGTATGACATCGTCAATTGGAAAGTGATCAATGTTGTTAAGGATCGATTAATGTTCGTCCATAATAACAAACCTCAAATTTTGATTAATCAAAAGAGAATCAGGGAAATGAATCATTCTGGTGAATTGAGTGATTCGATCATATCTCTTGGTGACAATGTGGCTCTTCATGTACCAACAATATTCAATCCAAGTTTAACTCAACCACCTCATAAATGGAATTATCTCGAATTGTTGCATTTCGTTGTTAAAAGTGAAAAAGTTTCGGTGATTCGATCCTTATCCTGGCACGAGAAGATGATTGGCAGTACATTAAAGAATGGAAAATGACTGATTATATTCATTTCGACAATAAATTGTATCTTCTGATAAAGCGAAATATATGGAAGAAAGAAATCTTTGATTTTACTCAAGAGATATCAATAATACGATTGTGTCTTGACAAAGGAAGGGAACTTATTTCGAGTGCAGTTGAAGTTCGTTATGCTCACCCAGAATTTCAGAATAGTCAGATAATCGAAGCCATTTTCAAATTACGTATGGTACATAATCATGATGTTTTCCGCACCTCAAATTTCGGACGCAGGAGACCGCATTTCTCTGGTACATCTTTAAACAAAAGATATGATTTGTTTATCACATTTGATACTCCGAATCGAGATCGAATGTATATGGAAATATACATGTATATGTCTCATCCCTATGGTAAAGATATGTTCGATATGGTGGAAGAAATGTTTGCCTCAGCTGATAAATCAGTGGATCTATTACAGTATCATTTGAGATCAGAGTCTATTGAATGTGAAAAATGCACTCATGAACCTCTTCCTGTAGGTCAAAATTTTATCACTTCATTTGATGCAACAGAAAAAGTGCACGTGTCGGCGTATTATATAATTTGCGAACAAACACACGGAAATCAAAATTATTTTGTTCAACATCAAGCAATAACATTTGCACACCCATTTGAACGCCGGTTATTTCTTCATATACAAAACTCTTTATCCGAATACATATTATCTAGCCCTTGCTATGAAGCTTTTGATTGGCATTACTGTCAGTCTATTGAAGCAATGGAACAGAAATGGAAGCGTTTGAATATAGATGTGCGACATCAAGTTTTCGTTAATCAACGACCATTCGGAGTTTTCTTCATTACTAAAAAGAGCCATGAAATAATGTTCTTTAACTTTGATTTCATTTGCGAGGGATTGAACAATTGCCTTGATTGTGTAATGTATGGTTTCTATTTTAATTGTGTTTGGTCACATGAAACTCCGACTCCCCCTAAGTGCATTTATGATGATCAACCTAAACACAAGACTGCACTGACTAACAACCATTGCTTTAAAATCATACACTTTTCACCTTCCGTGCTCTACTCATCTCTACAACAAACTTTATCCATTAAACTTAATACACCATTTCAAATGGACAATTCAGAAGAGTCTCTGGTTATCCATACTGGTCCAGATAATTATTGTACAAACATCATAATGAACGGTCTTAACATCCAATGCTTAATGAATCCATTGAAAGGTGGTAAATTTAACATTGAAATAAATTTGATGAATGACAAGATTGCAGATGTTTCAGTGATTAGTGCTGTATCTACTGAAATGGTTCAAATTAATGTTCTCGAAAGTGAATGTGATAATTCATCAACAATAATTATTACATTATTCTCATGTTTATTTCTCATTTTGTGTTTGTTTATAGCTTATAAAACGTGTGATAAGGAAAAACTAACTAGAATCAGGGAATCGTGTGGATTGAAAAGAGGCAACAACATTTACAGCATTGTACAAACATTTCGACGAGCATGAATCTCATCATGTTCACCAAACAGCCTGCTTTACCCAAACAACTGCAAAAACCACAAGCAATATACGAGGTGTTCAAACGGGTAGGTTAAACTTTAGGGCTTTATATCTCGAGAATTAGGTGCACGATCGCGATCATTTTAATTTTATATTGATAAGCTTCACCAGGAATTTGAGAATGTTTAAAAGACAGAGTATTTAGAAGCGAAACAAAAGCGCTCCCCCGACTCGAAAAAGCAGTTTATAATGGGATTATAACATTTCAATGGAAACTTGTCAAAAATTTATAGCTGTATTTTTGAAAATCGTCTGATAGCGTTAATTGTAAAAAGGTGAGGGTATTTCGAGCACACTTATCATTAATTCCTGATGAAAATCTATTTATATACAAATTTTCAGATCAATAAACAAATCCGTTCTAAAGATATAACCGTTTACTTTTTGACCTACCCGTTTGAACACCTAGTATTAACGCACTTTATTTGAAATACTTTTTTCGTAAATTGCTTCGAATCATTATGAGTTAAAAATTAAATTAAACTTTTGGTTACCAAAATCAAATCACTAATTCTTTAATTATGTAGAAGGTTATCAAGCTTCTTTGAAATGAATAATAAACCAAGAATTTGATTAGATATTTATAATACGCTTGTACAATAATTAAGACGTTTCACTATCCTTTATAGCAACCTTCATTCAACCAGTTTCTTGGATACATTTATGAAATTGCTTGTCAATGATCATTTCTGCTCCATATTTTAGTTGAAGATTCAATGAGGAATGAAATTGTTGAATATTTGATTAAATTAGAATAAAATTATTTCGATCATTAGATTACTTTTATTTGTGAAATCCTTAGGATTGTCTTCGATTAATGAAGCAACTTGTTGAATGATTGAATTTATTGTCTAACTATCGACTCATCATGTTTATTCAACATATCATAAAGATTCTGGAACTTTTTTTGTGTATTAACTATTTACATTCATTTAAACGGGCACCAAGACACAATGTGCTTTCCTATTACAAGACTATGAACAATGTTTACTTGGCGGATCCTTATAACCATAATACAACTTATCGCATCTATGTTGCTGGTGTGACAATAACTATTGACATTCCAGCAAGTGTAGCGAAGACCTCCGATATTGTCAATTGGAAAGTGATCAATTTTGATAAAGCCGAATTAATGTTTGTCCATAATAACATACCTCAAATTTTGATTAATCAAAAGACTATCAAAAATATGAAATATTCTGATACTAATCCTTTAACTGGTTCAATAATAGCTTTGGGTGATAATGAAGCTCTTCATGTTCCAACAATAATCAATCCACAGTTTGATTCACAAAACAGTGTTTGGAATTATCTTGAATTGTTGCGTTTTGATGCTAAAAACATGTTAGTTGAAACCATTGAAAAATTACCTTGGCTATTTGCGGACGATTGGAAATACGTAAGTGAATGGAAAATGACAGATTATTTTCATCATGAAGATAAATTGTACCTTTTGATAGTACGAGCATTGAAGGATGAATTTATTCTTGGAGGGATAAAAAGAGAAATTTCAATAATACGATTGTGTCTTAATAAAGGAAGTCGACTTATTTCAACTGCCACTGAGATTCATTATACTAGACCATTATTTATAAATCTTAGAATAGGCGAAGTACTTTTTGACTTGGATGCAAAGACTCTTCCTAATGAAATTATGTTGCTTGTTCAAATAATATCACCTAAAAACGATTTTTTTTATTATAGAAGACATTATATCAAATCATTCAGTCAATTGTTCGACACAAGCGGAATGGAATGTTCCAAAAATGATGCTACAATGACCTCTAATCGATTACGGTGGCATTTGAGATCCCGGAGAAAATGCGATAGATTTTCTTATTCTCCTTGTGGCATCAATAATAAATATTACATCACCGCATACGATATAATCAATATCGTTATCGACGATTATACGGGGTTTGAAAATAAGTTGGAAACTTTTATCAACAACACTGTTGTTAAACCTAATCTATTAGATAAAATTACTTATTTTTGTCTGAGCGAAGCGAAGACATATGAGGTGAAAATGAGAATTTTTGTTCGACGATAACTCAAAAATAATAATCACGATTTTGATGAAATCTTCAGAATAGCTTGCTATAAGGGTCGAAATTTACTGTATAGTTTTTGGTGAAGATTGGCCCAGTCCCAAAATTTGGAGACATTTTCTATCAATAGAGGGCGCCAAAACAATTGTCACTTTATGCACAAATTGACACAAATGGACAAAAACGGGTAAAAATTAACTTCTTTCAAATTTAGACTCTGTTAGTTTGTAGGGACATAAAACCTGAGTTCATTTGTGCGAATTAAAAATTTCTCTGATCCACAGTTTTTGAGAAGCTCGAGTTCAAAGTTGAAATTTCGATCACCTTTGTTTAATCATAAAGTTATGTAAAAGTAAGTGGTGTAACCTTTGATGGTCAACCAGAAAATACACTTATTTTGAGTAAAACTACTTCCATAATTAAACAAAGGCGATCGAAGTTTCAACTTTGGCCTCGGTTCTATCAATCGGAGAATTTGTTTAATAACTCTTAATTTTTATTCTTCTACAAACCTACCAAGACTCAAAACTTAACTCGAATGCTCGACTTTTTGCCTGTACTCTTTTTAAATAAGAACTTCTTTCGATAACATCAACACATCAAATTAATAATATTTGAAATTGCATATCAAAAGCTCAGACTACACTGTTGGCAGTAAATCTAGTAATATCCTATATCCTATTAATATAAGTCTGCTGTACTATTTACATACTTTTGATCAATCTAAATCTCTTGTATGTTACAAATACATGGGACTTACTTGTGAACTAATATTTGACCCACAAACCTTCAAGCCAGAAAATGATTGGGGCGAACGTTTTTTTCTTAACCAACGGCCATTATTATCTTTCATTGTCGCTAAAGGAAGTGAAGAGATTAGCCGTTCACCATTGGTTTATAAATGTCACAACATAAAAAATTGCAAGGATTGTATCATGTTTGGTCTCTTTTTTGATTGTATTTGGTCAAATTCAGCGTGTATTTATGATAATCAAACTAAAAACAAGAATATAGTGGCTCTCAACAAATGTTTCCGAATCGTAGACTTTTCACCTTCGATATTCAACTCTTCATCGTCAAACATATTAAAGGTTACACTTGATGATTTACCAGCTATAAATAAAGCTGAGGAGATTATTATTAAAGCTGGTCCAAATAATTATTGTCCTATCATAAAAATAGACAAAAAAGTAATTAGTTGCATCATGGACATATCAGAATCTGGTAAATTCCAGATTGAAGCGCACGTGGTGAACGACGCATTTGCAGATGTTTCTGTGGTTAGTGCTGTATCTATTAATATGGCTCATATTATTGCATCTGATAACAAAACTACAATAGTCATCATCATTCTGACTGTAGTTATCAATGCATGTTTACTGTTAGTTTATATAGCGTATAAAAAGGGTCAATTCAAAAGGATGACACAATTCGTTGAGTCAAAAAGGTCGACAGAATTAGTTGACAAACGAAAAGCTCCAAAAAGATTCGTTAAATCACTAACATTATCCTCTCAAGTGATTAGACCAGCGAAAACAATCAAAGCAACAGAACCAATCAGAGCAAACAGACCAGCTAAAGCAATGAAACCAAAAAAATCAAGCAAGCCAAATAGACCACCAAGAAAACTGAAAAAATCTTGGAGCTCATTGCCGTCTTTATCTAAACATTTGTATTTGTCAAAAGAATCACATCCACTGTAATGGTACAATTAATCAAATGGCTAATTGTAATATTATAATGTAATTTGATTCCTTTAGATTCAAATGTACACAGTTTGGACCACAGAAAACTCGAATGAACACAGTTATGTTGTCAAAAGTATTAACCCAATAATGTGTATAAACTCGATTTTCAATGGACGAATGGAATACATTTCATAATCCATTCATTTTAAAGGTTAATCATTACCTTTGATTGACCATGAACAGTAAATGTATTTGTTGACAATTTATTAATAAATTGGCGCTATCGAAACAATGTACTTTCAACAATGTAGCACAATGCCACCTTACCAATTGTATCTATCAAAAAATTAGATTCATCAATTTTGAAATACAGTAAAATACCGTTGTATGAAATTTAGCAACGCCAATCTTTGGGATTTAAGATTTTCACCGCTTTTACAATGAAATTATGTTAATAATTTCAAAGAATTGCACAAACAACATCGCTAGGCGGCAGGAACGCTCACAACCTTAGCGAGGTTTTACTGTAGTCATTAAAAGACAGAATTAGTTGACAAACAAAGAGCTCCAAAAGGATTCGTTAAATCACTAACATTATCCTCTCAAGTGATTAGACCACCCGGGTTACTCTTTTAACTAAATATTACCAAAAACTTGGTAATGAGCGGGAGAATAGCTAATTTTTTTTCAAACTCTCGTTCATTTCTTGTTGCGCTGATTTCTCACTCGCATCTAGCTGTTAGTTCACCAAAATTCTTGGTAAATTTTCTTGACAAGATTTTAGCTAAATGACCATTTTTTTATTGGCATTTAGTTTAAATTGATTTGCAACATGAGAAAGCTTAGCTTAGTGGTTAAAGGGATGGTCTGATGCTTCGGAGCGTTTGGGTCGAATCCCAATAACCTTTTTTTCAAGTTTTTAATCTAATAAATTATTGGTAAAAATTCAATAAAAAATTAGTAAAATTTGAGCTAAATCAGTGCCAAAACGTTATCAAGCTCTTGATTATGTAAGTTGGCTAAATTTAGGCTCTTTCCTGGTCATAATAGTAACCCGGGCAGCGAAACCAATCAAAGCAAACAGACGAGCCAAAGCAAGCAAATCAAAAAGACCAAATAGACCAGCAAGGAAACTGAAAAAATCTTGGAGCTCATTGCCATCTGTAGCTCAACATTTGTATTTGTCAAAAGAATCACATCCACTGTAATGGTTCAGTTAATCAAATGACTAATTGTAATAACATAATTTAATATAATATCTTTAGATTCAAATGTATTCAGTTTAGATTACAGACAACTCGAATGAATACAGTCATGTTCAAAAGTATTAACCCAATATTGTTAAAAATCGATTTTCAATGTTAATCTTCTTACCTGGTCATTTGTCATATTTAATTGTAATGGTTGATTTAATTAAAATGAAATTTTTAGTTCACAAAACTTTATTATTACAGTAAAACCTCGCAAAGGTTGTACTCGCATTTTCGGTTTTTGGACCGGCCCGACAGGGACCGCACCAGCTTTTTGCGCTGGTTACACATTTGTTAGCTTGACGAATCCAGGGTAGGGGAGAGAGGGTTTCCAGAGGGCTTATGCTCTGGGTAAGCTTGAGAGGGTCTGCCCGACCTAAGGACTTCGACGAGATTCGAACGCTAACCCCAAGATGCAGAACACAACATATGAAAGTTAGCAGTCTTATCGCCGTTGGAGTTAACCCATTAGGCTAACAGTTAGCCGCCAACTCTCAAAGGTTGTGAGCGGTCCTGCCGCCTAGCGATATTGTTTGTGCAACTCTTTGGCATGATTAACATAATTACATTGTAAAAGCGGGGAAAAAGCTTAAATCCCAGAGATGGCGTTTCTCTATTTCATACAACCTTTGCGAGGTTTTACTGTAGATCAAAATTTACTTTCCCAGATATCCTCAACATTTTGCTCAGGCACCTTGACTTGTAAGATGGATCCATGACTATATGCTCTGTAGTCAAAAAATCAAACACACAGTAATTTTTTATAAATTTTTATGGATGAAATGAGCT